AATAAGAGTTAAATGGATAAACTTAAAAGATGCAAAGGCGTCATACTCCAATCAGTAACTACAGGAGAAACTTTGTTTAATGAGAAAAGATAATAGATAATAGAAACAGGACAGACAAAAAATATAAATATAATGATTTGAATTGAGACGAGATAATTAAAATAAAATTGAGAAAATTAAAAGAGGGGAGAAGCTATGCAGAAAATGTAAAACAGTAATAAGATATGGAACAGAGCATAAAAATGAACATGAAACTGAATTTGTGTCTGTATGAAGAAATGTAACCCGGGATTATGCTGCTTTTCAAAAAAGATGTTTTATTTGTATTTTTTTTGTGAAAACTCAAATAAAATTAACAAAAAAAAACCCTGGTCCTCATAGTTATAACCAGCCACAACTGGTCCTCGTACTTATAACTAGCCACAACTGGTCGTCGTACTTATAATGTTGGGACTACTATGTTGGGAATTCACCTCACAGAATTCCCCCACCAGCATGATTTCCCACTCCTAGGGAATTCTGGGGGTTGAATCTCAAAATTAAGAACTTGCCAGATTGTGGAAAATATGTGAAACTCGGTTACTTAATTCTTCACTGCCAAAAAAGAGAATGCCTAAAATTTGCCTGAACATAGAAGCATTTATTAGCAAATGCTCAGTGCTATTTTTATGCTTCACATCTCCCGTAGGGAAGAAAATTGTTTGGTTTTTTTTCTGAAAAATTTCCAGCTTAGGCTTTTCGTTCCAAAATTCCTCTTCAGTACTTATTTTATTTTTATTTACTTATTTATTAGATAGACTGTAAAGGTGCACCTCAACTTACAACCACATTTGAGCTGCCAGGTTTCTGTTGTAATGCAGTATTGAGTTTTGCCTCGTTTTATGACTTAAATGGCCACAGTTCTTCAGGGAGTCAATGCAGTTGTTCAGTTAGCGACAATTTAAGTGAATCTGGCTTCCCCTTTGACTGTTTGGAGATCACAAAAGAGGATGATTGGACCAGGGACGCTGCAACCGTCATAAATATGAGTCAGTTGCCAAGCATCTGAATTTTGATCACATGACTGTAGGGATGTTGCAATGGTCGAAAGTGTGAAAAATGGTCCCAATGGTCATTTGTTTTCAATACCATTGAAACTTTCGAACAGTCACTAAATGAATGGTTGTTAAGTCAAGGACTACCTGTACGATGCTCATCTCACAGTTAAGAGTATATATTTTACCACCATAGTTTGGTATGTTAGCTAAAGACCTAGCTGTTGAGTTCCCACAACGCTAGGTCAGTTGGGGTAGTCCTTGACTTACGACCATAATTGAACCCAAATTTATGTTGCTAAGTGAGACATTTGTTAAGTGAGTTTTGCCCCATTTTATGACTTGAATTGCTACAGTTGTAAAGTGAATCACTGCATTTGTTAACTTAGTAACCCGGTTGTTAAGTGAATCTGGCTTCCCCCATTGAGTTTGCCTTGCCAGAAGGTGTTGTGGTTCGCTGGTAGCAGGTGCGGATGGCTGAGGTCTTGGAGAGCGAGGACTCAGATGAGGGTCCTGCGTATGATACAGGAATGGGGCCAGGATCATCAGGGAGTGGAGTGCTGCCTTTGGAGATTGTGGAGGCTGGCAGCAGTAATGAAGAGGTCCCCGAGGAGCCTGTGCCCAGTGCATGTGCCCACGGGGCTACTTGAAGGAAACAGCAGCTGCAGCAGCACGGGCGACTCGGGAGTAAGACTGCAAGGTAATGGCCCCTCCCTTAAGAGATAAAAGCCAGCTGAGAAACTGGAGTTCTTTGCAGGAAGCAAAGAAGTTTTTGCACTCAAGCCTTGTGGGTGTTCAGACTCTCTTAGTTTGTGTTTGGAGACTCTTTGAAATATTTCTTAGTAACTTTATCTAGTGTTCTTGGCAGCCTTGCACAATCTTGGCAAGGCTCATTCATATCAGAGACAATTAGTTTGAAACAGCCTTTTAACCGTGAAGGAACGGAATTTGTAAAGAATCATTAAAAGTTTTGTTGTTATCTCTGTTTCATGTTTGTTTCCTTGGAACAAGGTTTGGTCAGAACAGTAGGTCGTAAAAGTAGATCACATGAACTCGGGATACTGCAACCATCAAAAATACGAATCAGCTGTGAAGCATCTGAATTTGGATCATGTGACCATGGGGATGTTGTAACAGTTGTAAGTGTGGAAAATGGTCACAAGTCATTTTTTCAGTGCTATTATAACTTTGAATGGTCACTAAATGAACTGTTGAATGTCAAGGACTAACTGAATTTTATTTTGAGTGGTTGAACGTGTGAACTCATCTTATTGAGCCTTTTTTTTCATGTTAGGATAACCGCAAGGCTTCCCTGGCATTCTGTAATATGATTCTTTCTTCCATTCCGCTCCAAGCAATTTCTTTTAATATCAAGCTGTCTGGGGAATTATCGGAATTATCACAGATCTTAAAGTTGCTAAGGCGGAAAAACACTCAACCTAGCCAGTAGGTTACAAAATGTCTACATTTAGATTGCAGAAATCTAAAATACAGTAGAATTGAACGAGTTTATCCCTGAATCTTGAGAAACATAATTTTAATCGATTAATCAAAATAGAAATTGGAAGGTCTTGGAGGTCTTCTAGTCTAACCCCCTGCTCAAGCAGGAGACCCTATACCAAGGGTCCCCCCCAAACTTAGCAACTTGACAGCTGGTGGATTTCAACTCCCAGAATTCTCCAGCCAGCTATGTTGACTGGAGAATTCTGGGAGTTGAAGTCCACAAGTCGTTGCCAAGTTTGGAGATCTCTGCCCTATACCATTTCAGATAGGCCCAGTCTTTTCTTAAAAACTTCCAGTATAGAAGCACCCACAATTTCTGGTGACAAGCTGTTTCCCCCGTTAATTGTTCTCACTGTTAAGAAGTTTCTCCTTAATTCCATGTTGCTTCTTTCCTTGGTTAGTTTCCATCCATTGTTTCTTCTCTTGCCTTCGGGTGCTTTGGTAAATAGCTTGACCCCATCTTCTTTGTGGCAGCCCCTCAAATTCCAGAATGCTGCTGTCATGTCACTCCTAGTCTTCCCTTTCTCTAGGCTAGCCATACCCAAACCCTACAACCATTTTCCATGTTTTTAGTCTCCTTTAATCATCCTAGTTTCTCTTCTCTGTACTGTTTCCAAAGTACATTAATGGCTAGTTTATTTTTATTTTTTCCTATCTCCTTCTCATCCCTTTTGATTTTGCATGTTTCACATATTCTTCTTTAACTTTCGTTAACGATTAGCACTTATTTGTCTCTTTCTCATCCTTTTAGATTATCTATGTATCATTTATTTTCAGCCAAGAGCAATAAAGATAGCTGATTTCACTTCGGCTGTGGCGGCTTTGAATCTTAAGAGTGCCGTTGCATTTATAAACCTGCTTTCAAATGCGCTTCCCAAGCCACCAGCAGCATTCTGAACAATTTATCTACGGTTTGTATTGCTGCAGAAATGTTGAAAACATCATTAGAATACAATTTTGGAGTCCCCCGTGATCATATCAGTCATAATATGCCGCTCGCTGTGAAACACACAAGCTAAGCGTTTGCCATTTTATTTTCATTGCAACATAAATTTTTGTTCTAAAATACTCTGTCACGGGGTGTTAAATATTCAGTCTTCTGCAAGGTGGCAGGATAGAAGGAATGTTCCTTTCCTTTGTTGAAAACAAGATGAAACAAAAAAGAAAGATGTTGAGACTCTGGAAAGAGTGCAGAGAAGAGCAAGAAAGATGATTAGGGAACTGGAGGCTAAAACATATAAAGAACGGTTGCAGGAACTGGGTAGGTCTATTTAATGAAAGAAGGACTAGGGGTGACACGATAGCAGTCTTCCAATATCTTAGGGGGTGCCCCCAAAAGAGGGAGTCAAGCTATTCTCCAAAGCACCTGAATTTAAAGGGGTGGGCTTCGTAGAATTCTTTATTGGCCAAGTGTGATTGGACACACAAGGAATTTGTCTTGGTGCAAATGCTCTCAGTGTTCATAAAAGAAAAGGTTCATTCGTCAAGAGTCAAGAATCGTAAGGTCCAACACTTAATAAATAGTCATAGGGTACAATAAGCAATCAAATCATACTAGGAAACAGGCTTCAAATAATTTAACAACCGGTTCTCTGCCCAGTCGCTGGATGGGCGTGGCTATGCTGGGTGTGGCCTAGTTGACCTCCTGCACCACCCTGGGAGTGCAAACAGGCTGTAATGGGCCATTCTCGCCTTCCCTGGGCTCCGGAGGCTTTTCTTGAGCCTCTGGGAGGTTCATTTTCACTCCCCTCAGACTCCAGAGGTTCTCTGGAGGCCAGAAACAGGCTCATTTCCGGCCTTCCGGAACTTCCAGGAGGCCCGTTTTTTTTTTTTGCCCTACCCGAGCATCCGTGAGGGCCCTGCACTTATCTGGGATCTAAAACAAGCCGTGTAGGGACTCCTGGGAGGGGAGGTGCAAGGTGGGCAGGGTCAGCCAGTCGTCAGGACTACCGGTTTGCTGAACCAGATGTAAAATTAACATCCGTTTCACGTGAACCGGTGTGAACCGCCTGAAGCCCATCAAGATACGACAAGAAGCGACAGATGGAAACCAATCAAGGAGAGAAGCAACCTGGAGCTAAGGAGAAATTTCTGACAATGCAGTGGAACAACTTGCCTATAGAAGTTGTGGGTGCTCCAACACTGGAGGTTTTTAAGAATAGATGAGACAACCATTTGTCTGAAACGGTTTAGAGTTTCCTGCTTGAGCAGGAGGTTGGACGAGAAGACCTCCACGGTCCCTTTCCAACTCGGTTATTCTATTAAGATGTCAAAATATCTTCTGTGAAATATTTATCAACTTCGGAGTAAAGATTGGGATCGAAGTGCCGCATCCATGCCCTCTGGAGTGAAGGAAAGGTAATTATGGAGCAGGCCATATTTTGGATTGCACGCTTCAGAATTTCTTAGGGCTTTCTCAGATGAATAAAACTGACCTAAATATATATATATTTGCCGTTTTAGGAGTATCCGATGCCTCCGCAACATTATCCACTGGAACCTGATCACAACGTTCATCCTGAGGAACATGATGTGGTTTGTGCTACAAACAATTGACCACAATATCCACGAGAGCAATGAGGTACTTCTTCCTCAAGAGATATGGCAGAAATTCAAGTAAAGGTCGTCCTTGACTTACAACCGTTCGTTTAGCGACCGGGTGTAAAATTGGGTGGAACTCACTTAACACAAACCCCCTTGCCAACGAATAAAAATTCTGGTCAAACTGTGGTCATAAAACAAGGATTACCTGTAGTGTTTGCCTTACGTTGCATTTTGTAAATCAGTCAAAGCCAAAGTGCAAAAGAAAATCGCAGACCGTTATGTGAGTGCAAATAGTCCTAAAACTTACAACAGTTCACTTAGCGACTGTTTGAACATTGAATAAAGTGGCTTATGACCGCTTTTCTTACTTAGAACCATTATAGTATCCCCAGGGTCATGTGATCAACATTCAGACACTTGCAACTGGCTTGCACTTATGGCGGTTGCAATGTCCCAGGTCATGTGATCTCCTTTTGCGACCTTCTGACAATTCACTTAACTATGTGATTTATTTTAACAACTGCAGTGATTCACTTAACAGTGTGGGGCAAAAAATGGTCGTAAAATGAGGCAAGGCTCACTTAACAACAGAAATGTTGAGCTCAGTTGCAGCCACAAGTCAAGGACTTCCTGTACAAACCTGGACAACGTGTGGCGCAAATAAACCAAAATATGCATCTCTTCCAACAGCTTTGGTGTCGGTGCATCACAACCATCTTCAACTACTTCGTGGTGACCAATTTCTTCTGGATGTTTGTGGAAGGTTGCTACCTCCACACGGCCATCGTGATGACGTACTCGACAGACAAGCTGAGGAAATGGATTTTTCTCTTCATTGGGTGGTGTAAGCCATCTAAAAGCACAACCTACATTTGGGAGTTTCATTATTAGCCAGGCAACTTTCCTCAGTAATTTACAAAATTAATGAGTAACAGGCCTGGCGGGGGACCTTGAAGGTCTTGTAGTCCAATCCCTGCTCAAGCAGGAAATCTTTTTTGATGAATCAGGGTAGCAACAAGGCAGAGAGGGGGGCTGGTTATGCATTTGAGCTTCTGTCTTTACTGAGGTCAGGCGGGTATCCCCCAAACTGTTGTGGTCTAGCAGTATCAGGGGAGGGAGGGAGGGAGGGAGGGAGGGAGGGAGGGAGGGAAGGAAGGAAGGAAGGAAGGAAGGAAGGAAGGAAGGA